CACTGCGTCCATGTCTGTCGCCTGTCGTCCGGGTGTTGTCTCGCAATCGGGACACGGTGGGTGGTAAGGGAGAGAGGCAGCGAAAGTCCTTTTCAGTATACACAGATCTAATTGTGCGTCTCTGCTAGATTTGCTCTAACACTGGGTTATTTCTCGCCGACGGTATAACTATATTTTGCTTGTGTAAATCTTAACAAAGTAAATTTTGATTTACAGAAAGTTATTTTAATAACGAAAATTTTTGAAATCCAATCTGCCGTTCCAGACTACAAGCTGTATACTTGCTGTGTATAAAAATATCTCAAATTCCTCTGTTTTGCTAAGGGGGTTTCCCATAGTGTTAAGGAAGTTTGCAATCAATGTGCAGTACGTTTTATACTTCATTGAACATCGGTAAACGGTCGGACACTACGCTAGTTGAATTTATATTTTACGACCTCATAAAAGCATCCAATTAACAAACTTAAATCAAAGGCTACCATTTAAGGAAGACGTCATTTCCTATGAAATTAGTGTAAAAAACTCTATTTTGTGCAAGCTTTCGTTAAAATATACAGGGTGGTCTAGATGTAACCCAATGCTACTTACTATTCAAGATTACAAATAAATGGCGCAATAATTTATTACATGTAAATCTTTTGCATGGACCTTCAGTACATTTTCTTCATATAACTATTAATATACGTAACTTTGTCCTCTTTTTTGTTTACCATATTTGAATTTATTATCGCCGTCTTCCATTTGAGACAGCCTATACACGGTGCAATTTAAAAATCGAAGAAAGTTTGTAGGCTGATATCAACTACCATTCATTCTGCCAAAGGTATAAAGGTGTCAGGGAACATTGGAATGGTCCGCTAGATCACCAGACCTCAGTTCTAAAGACTGAATAGCTAGAGGATGATTAAAGACCAGTTATTCAGTGATAAAAACCCCTTGATGATCTAAATCAGAGCTTCATACAGGCATAGGAAGATGTGTAAAAAGTAACCGATTGTAACGTCAAACGAAGTCCCAACTGTATTGCAAATAATGGTTCGCATTTTGAACATCAGTTTTAACTTTGTGTAATAAAATGTTGTTCGATTTATTTTTAACGTTTAACAGTAATTAGCGTTTTGCTAAACCTGGGCCATCTTGTATTTGAACAAGGCAAAGATCACGAGCTTAGCAGGATTTACTGACGCCACATAATTTCGCGACCTCTTATTCAACTGCAAATGGTCGTTGCCTATTAAAGAGACAATTATGTGTCGGCCTAGAGGAGATAAAATTGATAGGTAAAGAGAGTAGAAGTTAACAATGTATTTGAATTTTTAAGCGCATCGAAGACGAATGGCAGGAGTCCATACTAATGAAGTACTCCTTTTTACAGAGTGCAATTTTTAGAAACAGCCGGCAAAATTTACGCTGAAAAGCCCACATCCGGGTGTAACTGGATTATCCTCTTGAGTTATGCTGCAAAACAATCAATTAATATTAAAACCCCCCACCTTAAGTACTCCTTTATGCTCGATAAGGCATTTCGGTTGTTGGGTTAACATCTCCTGTCCTATCATTGGACAGCGCTTTTGCATTCATGGGCAAATCTCCATGCTTCAGCCGGCATGGTCGGCGTATCGGTGGGGGCAATCCTCCGCGCACGAAAACGGCGCTGCTTTCGTCAGGCGTATGTTTCACACTCACAGGAAAAAAACATTTATTCGTGTGTAGACCC